AGAAGTGGGATTGTGAATCCATCTTGAGTAAGTATTTTGGAGTTTGCTTGTTTGTTTCTAGGACTTCGAAGTTAAATGATAGGTGATCTCAGAACTTTTCCAGCAGTGCATTAGGTAAAACAGTTTATGCTCTGAGCACAACAGCAGGAATTTCCAAAGCCTAAGTAGTAATACAACTCATAATAAACTTACCTCATTTCTCTTTCCAAACCCTTCTTCACTGCTTTCTTTTTCCTTTGTGCCCTAGGTACATATTCAAACTTATATAATCATCCAACCCTTATTAAGGAGCCATCAAAGGTAAAATTATTAAACTTATTCTAATGAATAACACTGGGAAAACTTGACACAAATGTGCATTTTTTTCTCAATGGATGTCTGCTTTAAAAGAAGGAGCAGAAAAGAGGGTTGGGGAGGGTGTTAGCCTCTGCTATTATTTCTTCACTGAAGAAGGGTTTGGATATATTTTTTTCTGTTAGAAGGAAAATTGAGTCAGTTCAAAATGTCTGTAATAGCTAGGCAGAAACGTACAGAGCAAGGAATTCACTTTTTTGTTATTTATGATATAGCTTTGCATAATGTGTGTCTCACAACTACCTATTAGTTCGGATTTTTTTCTGCAGTTTGAAACAGTTCTTTGGCCTTCCAGATGTTCCCCATCATTAAAACACAGCTCGATATTCCAAAGTTTGAAAGGAAACCTTTTTCTTGCAAGCTTATAAAGGAATACTAAGTGCCTACTGAAGTTCTTTTTTTTTTTTTCTTTTCAGTAAATAAAAGGGAAAATTGTTTTTCATGTATTTTCATGTATTTTATTTCTTACTTTGGGATTAATGTGCCTTTTTCTGGAGGAACAAAATAGTATGGGGAAACTCACGTGTTTATTACTGTCAAATCTGAATCTAATGTTTTTATACTGCTAACGCAGTGCGATGTGCACTTCTTGTAGAGAAAAGTAGGGACCATTAATACATATGCACTCTCTGTTTTAGCCCAAGCCAATAAAAATTTCTCAGAAGACTGGAATTCCTCTACATATCTTGCCTCAGAAAGGTCTTACCGCTAAGCAGGTTGAACGCATGCAAATGATTAATGGCAGTGACCTGCCAAAAGCATCCACACAACCTCGTTCCAAAGATGAGAGCAAAGAGGATCGCAAGGCTAGAAAACAGGCAATAAAAGAGGAGCGAAAGGTACTTGTTATTTTAAGTAAGACCTTGCAAAACCATGTTGTATTATCTGCCTTATGAACTTTATCTAAAGCTCACTTGTTTTCATGTCTGGAAATAATGGGAAAAACTTGCTGGTCTCAAAGGACTAATTATTGTTCCTTAAAAAAAAAATCTACTAGAGAGAAAGTTAAGATAATTTTGTCATCCTGGTTTCCAATGTCGAAACTTTGGGTTTGTTATTGTGGCCACTACTGCAGATAAAACTTCGGAAGGAACTTCAGATTTCCTTACAATCTAGAGTAACAAAGGAAACATTTATGATGTTTCAGATTACATAAAGTGAAAAGTATCTGAAAGCAACTATGGAATAGTGGGAAAAAAATGGAAAATCTAATTGCCCACAATTAAATACTAGCTGTTTTTCTTAGAAACAGAAATAGCCAGCATATTAGAAGCTTCAGGTAACTTAAGATGTTAATCCTGGTGGTACATATATTAATTTGACTTCTGCTAATTAGTGCCATAAATGATAATATTGTCCTGATTGCTCTTGTTCTCATGATCTAGAACAGTTAATTAGAATTGTTTGAGTTTGCATGTTAATTCCTGTTTTGTAAATTTCTAATTATTCATGTGCACAGGAACGCAGAATGGAGAAGAAAGCCAACAAACTTGCCTTCAAATTGGAGAAAACGAGGCAAGAAAAAGAATTGCTCAATCTGAAACAAAACGTTCAAGGACTGAAGCTGTCTTGATGAAACTGAGAAGCTTATTGTGGAAAGATCCTTAAGTTCTGATTTGTATTGAGAAGGGAACTGCCAACTGGAGAACCTTGCCTGTTCTGCTTAAAGGGAGTTGTTCAGATCTCACTGTAACAAGACCACAGTAACTTGTTATTCTTTCTGAAATGAAATTCTACATAAAACAATGTGTTAGGGATGTTTATTCTGTCATGAATGACAAGGCAACTGTTGCAAAGTTTCATTACAGTATAAATGTATTAAAATAATTAAAAATATTTTTGTTACATGCTGAACAGAGTTTTTTATATATATATATTTGTTGAATTTATTCAGCAAATCAGCTGAATCCTACAGATTTGATCTGATTAGATTCTTCTATTAAATTATTTCATTTTACATAGCAATATTTTCATTTATGTCTTCTCTCCATTATACTGATGGTTGAATATAGTGCCTTGATATAGCACAGTTTTGTAAGTCAAGGAGTTTTCACTCACTCCTCCTTGGTTCTTTTCTGGGTAGGTTATTTGTTGTTTTGGTACTATTACAAAAACTGTAGAATAACCTTTCCTAAGCAGAGGTGTCTGAAAAGCCCTTGTGTAGCTAGACATCCTTGTTACCTAACCTGACTTCTATGTTTCATGGCAAATAAAATCTGTTTCAACAAGTGTTGCAGTTACAGTAGCCAGTGACCCCTTACAGTTGCTGTCGGAATTGGCTTTGCTGAAAGTATTCACTCTGAGTAGTGTGGCAAACAAAACAGGAGATAATTAGAAAAATGTTGTAGATAATTAGAAAATGTTGTAGATAGTCATGGTCTTGATTTTCCTGAAATACTATTCCTCAGGTCTTGCATTCAGTTTGGTTTCATTGAAATACAAGCTTAAGATCCACCACAAATTTTTGAAGATGAGCAGACGCCCAGAATCGAGGCTCGGTATGATCTTAAATGTTTGTACTGTGCATGTGAGTTATCTTGATAGTGACCAGTCCATTATGTGTGAATGAAATGAATAGTATTTGTAGTCAGTCATAAATCCTTGTGTATTAATAAGAAACCCTCAGGTTTAGGTCCTTAGGCTACAGACTGAGCAGTCTTCTGCCTTTAGATGAAAAGTTAACCATTTTACTGTGAGGAACCAACGCATCAGTGGAGTGGCCTGACTACTGTTGAATTCAAAGCATCTGAAATATTCCTTAAACAGTTTTGTGAATACTAAATGGAGACAAGCTTGTGGAGGGACTGATGAGGCTGTTTAGTGTACAGAAACAATTCAAAGTACTTGGTTTTACTGGAGGGAGACTTTTATAATACATTCTAATTGGTAAAGTAAGATGATTTTGGAGAAGGGAATAAAGAGGTACTTGAGTCTACAAGTCTCTTGATCACTGCTCAGAAAACTAAAGTGTCAATGCAGTATGCACATCTAGATTAAGCCTTTGTTTTCTAGAATTGTCTGTGTTAACTGAATCAGTAGAAATCATCTGTAAGATTAGGAAAAAGTTTCAGGGTTTTCCTTTAGCTAGTTTTTCTTACCTGTACTAGTTTTCATGTGTTTCACAAGCTTAAGCAGGGTCTGTCTATGTCGTAATTGCTAATGTAATAGCTGATTGTGTGGTAACTTGGATGGTGAGCTTTTGAATAATGAATACTGACCACCTAGTGCTCGTGACTCCTGACAACAACACAGAAAAGGAAATGGAGAAGCAATTCTGTTGAGATGAATCAGATACGAGGAAAGAAGTTAAATGGAACAAGTGAGTAACAGATGCTGTTCAGTTGTTTGGGTGGAATGTGATTTTCTGATTTACCGAAAAGGATGGTGCATGTGTTCTTTGCTAGATTTCTCATTGCTGATTCAATGATACTGTGCTTGTACCCAAAGTCCTTTTTTTCTAAAAAAAAAAAAGCTCCTCTATCAGTCAAAACCTTGAGGGGATGAGAAAGAATAAAGAGGTGGGGGAGCCAGAGGAAGACAGACACAGCTGTTGATTTGGAACAAAAGGGGAAAGACATTTTTTACTTTTTCTATTGCCTTTGTTTGAAAGTTATAGAATTACTTTGTTCCTCTGCACTTGTAATCAATGAAACACTGTAGGGACATGAACTCTGTGCCTTAGAGTATGTTAAAGTCCTAAGGAAAAGGTAAGAAACAAAAGTTTCTGCTTTAGCAAGACAAGGATTTCTTTTGTTTTAACAAGAGCAGGTAAGGAACAGTTAAATGAGAAGTCCTTACAGAAGTTAATTCAGAGAAGTACCTCTGTAGGGTTACCAATCTAATTAAAAGGACTGTGTTATTCAGGTTTTCCTAAGGGCTGTTTCTGTTTAATAAAAGTCACGTCCCTGCTCTGAAATGAGAGTATGTGACTGCCTTTGGTGTCAGAGGGGCCTAAAACTACTTTCCATGTAACTTTAACACCTATTTTTTCAAAAAAATTACTGATTTAAAACCAAACATCCCCAAAAAATTGACACTATAAAGTAAGATCATTTTGGAATGATGTCTAGCATATCATGGAAATGTTCCGCCTTAATAATGAAGATAATGCCGCACATTGCGTGGCACTTTCTACCTTCTGAAATAGCAACAGTTCAGCCTGAGCCATTATGGGGTGTCATTAGCTCCCTCTGACTTCCAAACAAAATAGAATAAATCTGGGTGCAGACCGCCTGCCCTTGCTTCCCAGGCCCCCTCCCTGAATTTAGGGAGCAATGAACTTAGGTACTGTTCCATCATCTCCTCAGCCAACCGTGATGTCATTGTGAAAGCACATACCTAAGCAGTCATGTGGAAAACAGAATGCTGCCCATCGTAGTAAAGGAGAGCTTGTGCTTAGTAGGAACGGGAAAACTAAGGAGTTCTGCAAAAGGGAACTCTGGCATGGAACTGGAGGGTTGGATTCGATAATCCTTGTGAGTCCTTTCCAGTTCAGGATATTCTGTGATTCTATGGAGATGTCCCTTTCTGACAATGAAGTACTGTTTCAGCCAGGGCTTAGTCCAAGTGCCGACTCTGCTATAGTCAAGCTGTCCTGTACTGTGTAACAGACTCTTGCATGGTTTGCATTTTACACAGCTGCCTGAAGTCAAGATCTGGCTCCTACAACCTGTGGAAAACATTCTGTACAAGATGTTCTGGTAAAACAAAAATCTTTTTTTTTAATGGGAATGTCAATGCATTTAGCTGAAAGGGGTAGTGAGTACTGGGAAAGGAGGAGGTGTCTGCTAGTAGAGAAGAGGGTTGAACACATTTAAAACAGCAAATTATCTAGTAACTGCTTTCATTAGTGAACTTGATTAGAGAATTAATCAATGTGCACAGAAATATTGTGACTTCATCGTCAGTCTTGTGCTATCTTAATTTACCTTCTTGTCCAAAACCATGTCCAAAAATGTCCTGTATATTGAATTTAAAATAATGTATTTTCTCTTGGTGAGGCATAAATTACTAACCTGAAGCCTCCTATTTGTTCCAGGTTTTTAGGGTGAATTTGTTATTTGAGGCTTCTTGGGAAAAACAGACTAATAAACCATCTGATAAGTAGTCCCTTTGACAGCATAATGTGGGCACCAGGCTCTGTTCCAAAGCCTGCTGAAGTGAATGAAAAGATTCCCCTTGACCTCCCTGATCCCTGGATTACAAACTGAATGGGTGGCTGCACAGCTTGCCTGGCACCACCCAACTGCGCATTTTTTCTGCAAGGGGTGGGGCTCTGCATGCACCCCTCTGCTCCTCAGTTTGTGTTACTGATCCTGTGTCTCTGTGGTAGATCAGATTAGCCCTGCAATAGTACTGAAAACTGATTTAAGAAAAAAAATCCAAGAACAATACACTTGAATCTGAGTGACTGTGGAGCGCCAAGACAAAGGTGCAACTATGCATTGGTCATTTCATGTTTGGTATCTCAGATCAGGTACAGGAAGAACAGAATGGTTTAATTTAGCAAAACAGTTTGAAAAGAGATACATCTATGTTTTGGGAGAGGTGAGAAGTTTCCTGTCACTGTGACTAGTGTGAAACACAAGTCTTATAGTGGCTCTCTGTGTCCCAGTGATGCAGGACTGCTATGCTCCTCAGCGGGCAAGGCATAGGTATTTGCTGTTCTTTTGGTCCTGCAGAGCAATATTCCTCTTGAGTTTGCTGTCAAAAATGTCTAGAAACAGAGGATAAGGACCTGAAGCACGTGAGTAAAAGGTTCAAAGGGAAATGAGAATTTCAAAATGTGTTGAAGTAGAATGAGTTGCTTTTTTGGTCCAGCTGAGCTGAAACCAAAACGCCTTGCTCAGGCAGCTACTTAATAAGTAAAAAGAAAGAAAAGTGAAGTTGCTGCTAAAATTTGGCACTAGATATCTACCTAAAATTTCCCAGCTTCCAGCTGCAGGTGCTATCCCTAGTTTTCCTTCTGTACTGTCAGGTTATGGGTGCTGGGGCTGTGGCTATTCCAGTGGTGTTTCAGTGCTCTAACAAGCACTGCTGGTTGTCAGAGGAGCCCCCACTCCGAAACACTTATCTAAACTCAGAGAACTAATAATGTGAATCTTGGCCACTTGAATAGGGTCAGACTGTTCTCCCTCTTAACCAAGAAAAGAGAAAGAAAAGCAGGTGTGGTGGAGGAGTCCAACAGGACAGCTCCTGTTCACAGACCCAGTTTGTTCTTTTCTGCAAGTCATTATTTGTACTGGCCTCCAGCATGTCCCTGAGCAGAACCAACTGGAAATGGCTTCTGTTTCTTATTTGTGTTGAACTGCAGCTGTACTTAGACAGCTTTTTAAGTTTTGATTAACTCCTTCAGGAGTTAAACTGAACCCAAAATAAATACTGCTGCAGCTCCCTGCTCCTGAACATAAGTAATTTCAAAGCCTGAATAAGGAAGCATCATTAACAAAGCATGACTCCAACCCATCAAAAAATGTTTTTCTTTGGATCCCAGCTGAGACATGATCCAGTGTGCAAGAAAGCCTTCAATGGAAAGTGCAAGCCCTTCAGCATTTTGAAACAGAGACTGCAGGGAACAGAAATCATCACTGTGAAGAAGCAGGCCCCACAAAAGCTATAGTTAAAATTGAAGTGTGTGTGTTATCTCCATAAGAAGTCTTTCATTCAGTAACACTATTGTTTCCTCCAAGGACAAAGCCTGGATGTTACGGATGAGTCGCACATATGTGCTTGACCGGGTGCCAAATTCTTTCCTCCCCTTCCCTGTGCTGCTAGTGTTAGGGAATATTTCTCTGTTGAGAAGCCAAATCAGTAGGTGTCATGACTACCCTGGGTATGTAAGTGTCTCTGCTCTTCTAAAAAACGTTAAAATATGCCTTTTAAAGACAATGTGAGAGTCTAACAGCTTCATTTTCACCTAAATCTGAAAGAGAGCATGATCCAAGATGGTTGATGCATGAATGCCCCATGTTGAACCTGAGAGGTGTCAGTAGCCCCTTAAGTTACAGAGATTCACTGCTATTTAACTGAAGGGTTTAAAAATGTAAAATTTAAAAATTTAAATTGAATTTATTTACAGAGATGGAGGAAAAGATGCTTTAGCTTTTACTGGAAGAGGTATATTTGTTGGGGAGGAGGGGAATACACATGGATATGCATATGTATTATTTTACCCAGACATACCAAATCATTGCTGATTTGGTATCCATGCAGACTGCTGTTGTAAAATGTCCTTTAAAATCAGTTGTGGAAAGAAACAGAAGTGTGCAAAGGTTTAAAGCAAGAAGAATGTGACAAGTGGAGAGGGGAAGGTGTTGATCATAATGTCTTTTCTATTCCCTCTTAAGTGCTCTTTGGTCTGCCATGATGAGGGTGTTCTGTTGAAGTGCATTGTTCTTTTATCCATCTTCTGGTGCTGTCAATAGACAGTGAAGGTCTAAATCAACTTTCCTATGCCTTTCAAAAAAAGCAAATTTCTTTTTTTTGTAATGCTTTTTCTTTCCCTCAGAAAGGAAGAACCCTCGCTCAAGAGAAGTATGGTTTGTGTCTTCTCTTATTTCCACTACAGAAACAGCTAGGGAAGAAAAAACTGGAAGCAGAGGATTTTGTTAATACTTCTCAATCAGCCAAGCTCTGAAGGAGGGCCACCCTCTTCCACCTCCTCCCCCGCCAAGAATGAATCCAGGTTTGTGGTCTACTTTACATTGTTGCTCTTCTTGGACTGATCTTTGGTAAAGCAGTTACCTCTTATTAACGGCAGATGGGCTTCAGTTTTGCACCCCTGGCACAACACAGTGTGAACATTAATTCCCTCCATAATTGTGTAGGAGTGCAAAGCAGAGGCAGTGAGGAGGAAGAGAAAACTAACTGTACCTCTTAAGTTTAAAGGCAGCAAGCTTGGGATTTGATATTAACACTTTGGGAGGAGAGTCCGAATAGCTGTACTACAATATAACAGAGGGTGAAATACATCCTCTCGCCATTCAAAACGACTGTACTGCACACAGGCTTCCCCACTCCCACGTGGTGGCTTTTCCACTGTCTCCTTCCCCACCCAGCTGTGCAGTCAGGGGAAGTCATTTAGCAGAAGACAGGTCTGGTTTACTACAAATACCAGGTTTGGTCTCTGCACAGAGCTCACTGTGTTACAAGTTACAGATCCAAAATGATGTACATACAGCCAATATATCATGATAATGTGATTTATAAAATGTGGGAGCAATCTTGGAAAGGGTTTCAGTGGAGTCCTGCCTGCGTTAGGAAGGCGGAGAGCAGGAGGGGGACAGGGGGCTCTCTGGGCTCACTTCCAGAGTAGGAATTCATTACTGATAGCAAAAGCATCTGCCATGATTCAAGCCTCTCTCCTCTCCTAGATGATGGTGATGCAGTATAAGCAGCAGGACTCCTTTTCCTTCCTTGATTGGGGTCAAACTTCTCTCTGAATTTCCACTGCTGAATTCTTTAATGACTCCGTTATTTCTTTTCTAACTTTACCAACTCTGAGAGCAGACCCTCCCTTTCCTTCTTATTGGAGGAATCCAAGTTCTGCAAGAGCAGCAGTAGTTGTGGAGAAAGGAAGTAAATAACTGCTTTTTAGGGAGGACAAATTGCTGAGTGGCCTAGTGAGGGTGTATATCCTATAGTACAGGACTATATATTCCCATATTACAGGACTGGAGAGAAAGTACATGGATTTTGGGAAGGAGAGAGATATTCCCTTTTCCTCTTATCCTTCTCCAAATAGAGCCCAAAACCTCCCCATTTTCCCCTGAAGTTCCAGGTGCCCCTACCAGCCCCCTGAAGCCAGGCATCTGTGTTCACAACCATTATGCCCATGATGCTGATCTGGAGCTGGCTTTTGATGGCTGCTTGCACCATTTTTTCTGTATTGTTACAGAGAGAAAGGGTTTCTAAAGATGCTATATCCTTAGTATTAGGATAAGGACACTTGGACTTCTTTTGTAAAAGCCACAGGACAGGGAGAAAGGGTCTGGGAATGGCAAGAGTGGTGTGATGGCTGAATTGTGACTGTGCTGACCCTGAACACTATTCATTGAAATGAGTCGGACTGCGCCAGCCATGTGTCACTGAATGGCTTTTAGTAGAATCAGGACTGTAAAACTCTCAGAAAAGACTTTAGAAAGCATGACTGTGTGTTCTTCACAATGCTGCTTCACACTCAGAAACCTGACTCTTAGATGTGCCTTGGCTGGTGGGGTACGACTTCTTCAGCAGTGGTTTGCTAAATCACAGAATCACAGAATGAATTGGGTTTTAAAAGACCTCTGAGATCATAGAGTCCAACCTATGACCCAACACCACCATGTCAATTAGACCATGGAATTAAGTGCCACATCCAGTTAAATGCCTCCAGCTGACTCCACCACCTCCCTTGGCAGTCCATTCCAGTGTCTAATCACCCCTTCAGTGAAGAAATTCTTCCTAATGTCCAACCTAAACCTGCCCTGGTGCAGCTTAAATAATGTCCTTTTGTCCTGTCCCTTGCTGCCTGGGAGAAGAGGCACCCCCACCTGGCTACAATCTCCTTTCATGTAGTTGTAGAGAGCAATAAGGTCTTCCCTGAGCCCCTTTTCTTTAGGTGAAACAACCCCCTCACCCTCAGCTGCTCCTCATAGGGCTTGTGCTCCATTCCGTTCACCAGCTCTGTTTCCCTTCTCTGGACACACTCCAACACCTCAATGTCCTTCCTGAAGTGAGAGGCCCAAAACTGAACACAGGATTTGAGGTGTGGCATCACCAGTGTTGAGTAAAAGGGAAGAATCACTTCCCTGGTCCTGCTGGCCACAATATTGCTGATACAGGCCAGGATGTCATTGACCCTCTTGGCTGGCTGTTGACCAGCACCCCCAGGTCCTTTTCCACGTGGCCACTTTCCAACCACACTTCCTCCAGCCTGTAGCGCTGCATGGGGTTGTTGCGGTCAAAGTGCAGGCACTCGGTCTTGTTGAAACTCATACCATTGGTCTCATCCCATTGATCCAGCCTATCCAGATCCCTGTGTAGAGCCTTCCTACCCTCCAGCAGATCAATACTCCAACGCAGCTTGGTGCCATCCACAAATTTACTATGGGTAAATTCTATCCCCTCATACAGATCATCAATAAAGATATTATACAGGACTGAGCCCAATGCTGATCCCTTGGGGACACCACTTGTGACTGAATGCCAGTGAGTCATTCACGCGCGGCACCATTCCCCAGCACTCTCTGGGGCCCAGCCATGCAGACAGTTCTTAACCTGGCAGAGAGTGCTCCTGTCCAAGCTGTGGGCTGTCAGCTTTTCCAGGAGAATGCTGTGGGAAATGGTGTCAAAGGCTTTGCTGAAGTTTAGGTAGACTACATCCTCAACCATTCCCTCATCCACCAGGTGGGTCGCCCGGCCATAAAAGTAGATCAGGTTGGTCAGGCAGGACCTGACTTTTCTACACCTGTGCGAGCTGGGTCTGATCCCTTGGTTGTCCTGTATGTGCTGTTTGATGGCACTGAAGATGATCTCCTCCATAACCTTCTCCAGCACCAAGGTCAGGCTGAAAGGTCTGTACTTCCCCACATCCTCCTTCCGGCCACTCTTGGGGATGGGCATCACATTAGCCAACCTCCAGTTTTCTGGGACCTCCCTGTTTAGCCAGGATTGATGATAAATGAGGGAGAGTGCTTCTTCCAGCTCCCTCACCCTAGGATGAATCTCATCTGGCCCTACAGACTCATGAGCATCTAAGTGGCTCAGCAGGTCACAAACTACTTCCTCCTGGATTATGGGGTATCCGTTCTGCTTCCTACCTCTGCTTACCAGCAGGGGGGCAGGGGATAACCGGTCTTACTGCAGAAGACTGAGGCAAAGAAGGTCTTAAGTACCTCTGCCTGTTCCTCATCTTTGGTGGCTATATTCCACCCGGCTCCAATAAAGAATGAAAGTTTTCCTTGGCCCTCCCTTTGTTATTAATGTATTTATAAAAACACAAGTTGCCAGGTTAAGTTCTAACTGAGCTTTTGCCTTTCTAACCTTCTCTCTACATGACCTAATGACATCTTTAAACACTTTCTGAGTTGCCTGCCCCTTTTTCCAAAGGTAATACACCCTCTCTTTTTCCCCGTGTTCCTGCAAAAACTCTGTGCTCAGCCAGGCTGATCTTCTCTGCCAACTTGTCTTTTGGCACATAGGGACAGTCTGCTCCTGTGCCTTCAAGATTTCTTTCTTAAAGCATGTCCAGCCTTCCTGGACCCCTTTGTTTTTAATGGTTGCTTCTCCAGAGACTCTCTAAACCAGTGTCCTGAATAGGCTAATATCTACCCTCCAGAAATCCTGGACAGAGATTTTGTTGACTCCCCTCCTTACTTCACCAGTTATTGAAAATTATGATATCGTGGTTGCAGTGCCCAAGATCGCCTCTGACCACCACATGTCACACCAGCCCTTTGCTGTTTGTAAACATCAGGTCTAGCAGGGCCTCACACCCCCGTAGGCTCAACCCCAGCTGCGACTGGAAGTTGTCTTCCACATACTCCAGGAAGCTCCTAGACTGCCTCCTCTCTCCTGTGCTGAGTTTCCAGCAGGTTAAAGTCTCCCACAAGCTGGCAATTGTGAAATATCAGCCAGCTGCTTATAGAACAATTCATCCACCTCTTCATACTGGTTGGGTGGTTTATAACAGACTTCCACCAGGATATGTGCCTTGCTAGCCTTCCCCCTGATTCTCACCCATAGGAACTCAACCTCATTGACCTTTCCTCAAGCTCTGTGCAGTCAAAACACTTCCTAATGTACAGAGCCACCCCAGTCTCTCCTTCTCCTGTCCCTTGTGAAGAGCTTATAACCATCTATTGCAGCACTCCAGTCATGCGAGTCATCCCACCACACTTCTGTGATGGCAACTATGTCGTATCTTTCCTGCTGCACAGTGGCTACCAGTTTCTCCTGTTCGTTACCCATACTGTGTTGATTCCTTTTTTCCCTTTTAGACAGGTGAAACCCATCTGTCTCCAGCAGGCCTGGTGCCGTGCAAATAGCCCCATGATAAGAAAAAATAAGGAGGCCAGGAAAGGGTTTTTCTACCTCCCCAGGCAGGGACTTGTTTCCACTCCCCCCTTTTATATCTTCTGCCTGATGGTAAGAGGGCAGGGCTCCTCTGACTTGCTGAGCTTCCATTCACTGCATTTCTCTCAGGGATGGAAGGATGCAACTCTGCTAGTTTATTTTTCTTTCACACTCTCTGATACTCCTCAGCGTCTCCACCTCCTCTTTAAGCTCTGCCACCAGGCAGAGCAGATCATCCATGAATTCAGACTGTATGCAGGTGTCTTTTCCGCTGTCCTCCGGCACTTAACGCCAGGCTCAGACACTCCATGCTGCCAGAGACCTGTAAAGCTGCGTGCTTCTTGTGGAGCTCTGTCTGGGTTGCCACGCTCCTACTAGCAATGGTTTTTGGCCATGTGTACACCATTTCTGGGTCTATTCTGGTTGGGCAGTGGAAGAATCACCAGGTGAGGTGGGCTTACCTCAGGAGCTGGGAGGGTGGCTGTGCCCTCCTACAAGCTCTGCCTGCACCAGCTGCTGCACTGCACTCCCTGGAGCCATTTAAACCTCCCGGCAATGCCCTCTCCTTGCCTGATGAGCTTCTGAGGGCTTCCATGTCCTGACAGGGCTCTGGCCTGCTGCTCAGGAGTCCCTGGGCTCAGGAACTCTCTGTACAGGTCTACCTAACCCTCAACCCCAAACTCACCTCAGCCGATGTTGCTGCCACCTCAACAAAATAGCAACCTTAATGACCAGTCTTCAAAAGTAGTCTTAAAATCATTGGGTTTGTCTATGCTAGGAATTTTTGAATAATGCTGTTCCTGCAGACTTGTTAATTATGAGGTTGGGGGTGGCCAGGAATAGGACAAAGATAATAAAATCTGCTTTTATTAATACCCAGGGATTCATTTTTGAAAGCAATTACTGTTTGCTGGGTTAATAGCATAAGCACATATTTTAGGATCCCAAGTGTTTTTCTAGAAAAAGTTTTTGTAGTTCTCCAAGGTATGTACTTTGGAAGCTGATAGGAACTCATCATGGTTACCTGCTGGTGGAGCCAGGTTTTGAACTGCATCTTGAGTGCTCCAGGAAAGCAGGGCAATTTTTCTCCTGTACTGTATAAACTGTGACACAAGCTGTTCCTTTCTTATGGTCAGAATATATTCAGTGTCCACACTGCTCACAGAGGTTTAGTGGGGCTGCAGCACAGAGGCACATGGAGTTTTCTGAAGGACAAGGTGTCGACCATGCTGCAAAGACCACTGGACAGGCTTCGGTAAGTACACAGTCACATTTGCATGGTCCTGGAGGCAGATTTGCCAAACTTTAGTTCATGGTGAGTAAAGACCTACATTAATATAAAACTCTTTAAACAAGGTACATGCTGAATATCAGCTGGGAGTTGCCCATAACTGGAGCCCTTTGTCTGATGAAAAAATGACAGAGTATGACAGTATGAAAAAGTTGGGACAGTAATTTCCTCAGGCTCTTCTGCAATTGGATTCCGGGGTAATTCCAGGTAGTTCTGTTGTAGGGAAGCAGAAAACTGGCAGCTTTTGCAATACATGGAGAAAGCTCTTCCTGTCCATTAGGGTTCCCTGCTGTTGGAAAGCCTGCTGTTCCCTTGTCTTTAGACACAAGGCCAAAGGGCTGAGCCCCTTTGAGGGATCAAAAAAGTGAAGGTAATCATCAGTCTCTTGAAGTGAGATTTCGTTTTGTTATAGAAAAAAGAATAATGTAAACTGTTCCTTTAGGAGAGTACTGGATTTTTGTTTGTTTGTTTTGTTCAAGATATTTGAAAATATTATTATTCTTTCACCTATTTGGGGCACGAAAAATGACTTCCAAGTGAGAGAGGGTGGACCTTTTTCCTGTTCCTTCTACCACTGCTTCAACAGCGATTTGGAGAGTTTTCACCGGGCTCCGTAAGTTCCTTGCTAGAGTTGAGTGGTGATTGTGCATCTTCTTTTACTAGGACAAGCAGCCACTGACTCAGAGAAAAACTCCAACATTAACACCTGCTGTGTTATCACTTCTGGAGAAAGTACAAAAGGGTGCCAACACAGACAAACCTAGCCTAGGTAGAGTTCATTTAGTCGTATTTATGTCTTTCTTGTAACAAACTCTGATGTATTTGAGGTGAGCGATCATAGGCAGATCATAGGCTTTGGAATACAGTTTTCTGATAGAATAATATTGAATTATAAATTTTGACTTTTTGTGGGGTTTTTTTGAAGTCTTGACATGAAAACCTAAACTCATTTCCATACAGGGTCAAAAATTTCCAAGTGGAAGTTGAATTGATATTGAATGGTCATCATGTTGATATTTCCTGGTCATTAGTCTGCTCCATTGTGAGGAGTGTATGCCCAGAGGTTTTCATTTGGGTGCTCAGGAGGGCCTTGTTGTTTTCATTTAGAGGTCCTCAAACAGAAGTATTTATATAGACCTAAAATATACAGTCTGGGTTTGAGGTTTATTCTGTTCCATAAAGGACTCCATAACCTTTAATCTTCAATTTTAAGATTTATTCTACCATTTTTACCTTTTCTTAGGTCCATTTAGATGAAGTATGAAGTATGTTGTCATATGTTCCATATGACTTTGCCCTTGTTGATTTAGCCTTAAAAGTAACACCACCACTTCCCTAAAACAGTTCCCTCTACATAATGTGTTTTCTAGACCCCTTTGCTACTGGTTAATCATGACTCATACTCAGTCTATGTTTAGAAGATGTTTTATAAAGTTATTTTAAAGGTTATTTGTAGTATAACATGTGACTGATAATACAAACTGCTCTTTGTATCAGTATCTTTGATCCCTACATTTCTGGAGTTTGTGTTGAATTTTTGTAGTTTATCATGTTTTATGGCCAATATTTTTTTAAATAATGATCTGCAGAGACCTCTTTAGAAATACTGAAGAAAGCTGGAAAATCTTGGGGTGTATCTACTGGGAAAAATTCTTCAGGAAAATTTGGGTAAGATTTTTTTTTTTTTATTTCAACATTATAACATAAAAGGACCCCGATTGCTTTTGTGATACACAACATCACAGAATCACAGAAGCACAGAATATGCTGAGATGGAAGGGACCCACAAGGATCATCAAAGTCCAACTCCTGGCCCTGCACAGGACCATCCCCAAGAGTCACACCACGTGCCTGAGAGCATTGTCCAAATACTTCCTGAATACTGTCAGGCTTGGTGCTGTGACCACTTCCCTGGGGAGCCTGTTCCAGCACCCAAACACCTTCTGAGTGAAGAACCTTTTTCTAATGTCCAACCTAAACCTCCCCTGACACAACTTCAGGCCATTCTCTTGGGTCCTGTCATTGGTCACCACAGAGAAGAGATCAGTGCCTACCCCTCCTCTTCCCCTCACGAGGAAGTTGTAACTGCAACAAGGTCTCCCCTCAGTCTCCTCCAGCTGAACAGACCAAGTGACCTCAGCTGCTCCTCATACGGCTTCCCCTTGAGCCCCTTCACCATCTTTGTTGCCCTCCTTTGGACGGTCTCTAACAGCTTAATACCTTTCTTATATTGCGGTGCCCAAAACTGCACACAGTATTCAAGGTGAGTCTACACCAGTGCAAAGCAGAGTGGGACAATCCCCTCCCTCGCCCAGCTGGTGATACTTTGCCTGATGCCCTCCAGGACATGTTTGGCCCTCCTGGCTGCCAGGGCACTGCTGACTCATATTCAACTTGCCATCGACCAGGACCCCCTGGTCCCTTTCCGTGGCACTGCTTTCCAGCACCTCATTCCTCAGTCTGTACGTACATCCAGGGTTGCCCTGTCCCAGGTGCAGAATCCAGCACTTTCCCCTGTTAAACTTCATATGGTTGGTGATTGCCCAGTCCTCTAATTTGTCAAGGTCTCTCTGCAGGGCCTCCCTGCCTTTGAGAAAGTCAACAGCTCCTCCCAGTTTTGTGTCATCTGCAAACTTGCTCAGTATCCCTTCCAGTCCTGCATCCAAGTCATTTATGGAGATGTTGAAGAGTATAGGGCCCAAGACAGAGCCCTGTGGAACCCCACTAGTAAGAGGTCACCAGTCTGGTGTCACCCCATTCATATTACCCTCTGTGCTCAACCCGTGAGCCAATTGCTCACCCACCGCATGATGTGTTTATCCCGCTGTGTGCTGAACATTTAGACCAGAAGGATCCTGTGAGAGACAATATTGAAAGCTTTACTGAAATCCAAAAAGATGACATCAACAGGCTTCCCTTGATCAAGTAGGTGCATTATTTTGTCATAAAAGGAAATTCAGGTTTGATAAGCAGGACTTTCTTCTCATGAAGCTGTGCTGGCTGTGACCAATTACAGCAATTGTCTTTCAGGTGTTTTTCAATATATCCTGTTGCAGTGTTTGCAGTATGAGCTTCTTTGTATTATTTGAAGCAATTAGTTGTACTGAAACTTTTGTGGAGCTCCTCAGGCCCCCAGTGTAGGCTACTGAGAAATTAATTTTGGAATTAAATGTTCTTTCTTTTGGAACACCCCCATCATCAGGTAGGCAAAGCCATGTCAGAGCAGCAAGAAGGCCTGCAGCTCCTGTTTGAGGTGGTCATGGTGCTATTACTCCAGGGGATGGCTCAGGTGATCAGCATCTTGCACCCCTGTGACATGTATACAGCTGCAGAATATGAGATCCCAGCAGGAAATGTAGCCAAGAATTATTCCTTATAGCTGGCAAGGTATTTTGAGCCTGGGAGATGAGCTTTTGAGAGTACCTGGAGCATGGGATGAAGAGAAATGTGCACAAAACAAGAGTCTCACATTCCAAGTCATTGCAGGGTTCTTCTATGTGCAGTTTTGCTGTCCTTGATTGCTGCTGGTCAGTGCCTGGTACCTTCAGTTGTGGGGAAGAGTGCAATGGGCATGGTGCTATTACGAGCTCCACCTACCTCCATCACTTTAACAGCTGCAGGAGAAACTGCTGTCAGTACCCAGTAGTCTCATCTGGTGTTCTCTACCCCCCAGAATACCTGTGACTATGTACCTGTTACTATGTTAACAGTATAATAACTCTTAAGGTTACCATGCAGGGTCTGGCAGACCAGCAACAGGAACTTATTGATGCCATCACCATTCTTAAAAGTTTAGCCACTGAACTCTGAAACCTGGGGCTTGGCAGGCTTGGGGAGGAGACACCTCTTTTCCCTAGGGATACTGGTGAGTTTCACTGGGGTTGTAGTTGCAGCCAGTTTACAGAGGCTTGGGACAGCCATTGCCTCCAGCAGTCCCCAGGACAGGCATCCACACTAGCATCCAAAATAGAGCACAGCGGAACTGTGGAAAGGCCTGGCTTGGGTGAGCTTGCAGATGCTGGACTGTTGGCAGCTGCTGCATTTTCTATAGAACTTGAGCTTTGCCAGGTGCTTTACAGAGCACTTTGTGCAGGCAAAAGATCAGTTTCAGTGCTACTCAAGAGCACTTTTTAGCTGAGAAAGCAGATGTGAGAAACTGGCTTTGAATGGTGTAAATAAATCCTTAATCTGCCTGGAAATGGTTTTCAGGATGAGCTGCTCCATCACCTTCCCAGGGACAGAGGTTTAATTTTCTTAGATAAAATGGACTAAAATATAAAAACTGTTTCTATAATAGGAAATAGCAAGTATATGGCTTGTTGCTGCTTTTAGGCCGCAAGTGGACAACAGAAGATAGAGTGGCTGGTTGGCGAGGATGTGTTAAGGTTTTCTTCTAACACATTATGGAAGATCTTAAGCAACACAATTTTCCAGTACCACTTCTGCCTGAAGATCTACAGCTACCACGTTCAATAAAATAAGCAAACTGAAATTCATTGATTGTGAGAGTATTTGTATTTGTTGCCAAGATTTAATTAAATGATTGCCTGCAGAGGATTGCTATTACCATGGGTTCATTAAATGGTTTAACAAAATGTAGAAAGATCCAGTACCATGTTATTTTTCCTTTCCCCTAATGCTTTGATATACTGAACAAGACAAGTGAACATTCTGGAATTTCATGTAAATATTTAATAGAATCTTTCAGTAAACAATAAAATGATTAATGATAGTGATTGATATGTGATAAATGGTGGCGTATACTGTGCATCTTTTTCAAAGCACTTCAAGTTCAGACTAAAACCAAATCTCATTCTTGCATTAAACACTTAAATTGCTTCTAGAAATTGATTAATAAGACAGAAATATTGTGGAGGTATACCCTTATTTTTTTGGCCACTTGATCCGCTGTCAGCCTTGGATCACCTTGCATAAATTTTCAATGATGCAACATGTAGGGGTTTTTTAGTGTAATAATTTTCATTAAGGCTTTCCATTAAAATCCATAAGGAATTTTCTTACCTATTAAATACTTAAAAAGTAAACAAAGATAAAAAGTAGTTGGACACAGCAACAGGAAATATCAGACTTTACAGAGTTTAATTAAACTCTACTTAGGTTTTAGCCAATAATGATTAGATAAATACAGAAAGGATGACACTGAAGCAAACATAAGTCCTAGGCTAGACTCTTAGAAACAGCAGGCATGAAATTATCCACAATATACTAAAGCAGTGCTGCTTAGCCTTTCTTAAAATCCAGAAAGAAGAGGAAAAAAAAACCCCAAACACATTCCCCACTATCCTGTGCAATGTTACCACAGTTGCTTTCTTTAACAAAAAAATAAATGAATCCTCAAAAGTTAGAGCAAGTTTTACTGTATTTGTTAATGTGTGTGTCCCTCAATTATTTTCTGAGTATAAAAGTGTTTGATTTCACAGCTTAGTTTCTAGTATCTTACAAAAAATATAAGGGCAGGAACGGTGTATTGAAGAACAGAATTTTAAAAATTCCATTAGCAAGAAATGAACCAATCATTAATATATGGAATGTAACATCATAGTTCAGACTGGCAGTGCAAAATTCTCTGCAATTAACAGCAACTCATTGATTAAGAAAATGGAAAGTCCCAACAGAAAAAGTTGGTAAATAAAACAGAAGGAAAAAGAAATTAACATCGTTTCTGATAGAGGATGCAACTTAGCAAAAGAACTACTTGTGTTTACATAGAGGATGCAGTCTTTTGTTCAATGTAGTATAATTTCAGCTTCTTGACATTATTTCAGCAGGTTTACATGCCTTTTTTTTCTTTCATAAAATGAGTACACGTTTTTGTATGACACCAAATGTTTACTAAATTTTGTTATTTGTTAGTATCATTTGATTATAGTAATTCTGTTTTATCACCACATACTGCTCTACTTCTACAGAGTTTCAAGCAGAGTTTAGATAAAAGAGTATTTTTATCTCTATTAGGATGGGAGGTAAAATGTCCTAAGATCTCCCAGATCTTTCTGTTTCACCTCCTAGCTGGTATTCCATGGTCTACCTTACCTTCTCCATGCCAGCTCTCTGCTCTTGGATTCTCCTCTCACATTTAGAGGAGAAATTGGCTGTGCCAGAGAGGAGGGAGGACTGGACACTGCTTGGGCTGCTGCTTTCCTCCACGGTACCCCTAGTGTACCTGAGGTTGTCTCTCCTCACACTGCTACTGTCACATCCCTGCATGGACCAAAGGCAGTGCCACCAGAGACATGTCCTGTAGCTCTTGCTGCCTTCTCCCCTGTCACTGCCTGAAGTCAGACCTGCCTGCTGCAGCCCCATCCCCTCAGACACCACAGGTAAGCCCAGGGAGACCTGGTGAGCTTGCTGCTGTCTCCACACCTTTCCCTTGGCACTGCCCCCTGCCAAAATGAAACTACTGCTCTTTAAGCAACGTCATATTCAGGCCCACACCAGGCTGGTCTACCGAGCCCAAAATATTTGTTTGCCTAGAAACAAAGTATTCTTCAGCTTCAACTACTGGAGGCCTCTCAAAAATGGTCACAGAGGTCCCCCTAGCAAAAGTGGTGAGAAAGTCCAGTCCTACTTACAGTATTAGATGACTTGGGGGTATCTCTTCAGCTGTGAGAATTTTAAAACAATTTTTTTTAAAATATAACTTTTTGAAATAGCTTGCCTTCCTTTGTGATGGGACATGCTCAGCTTTCACTACATTTATGATGTCAAGAATCTGGAAAAAGAAACTTGAATGGGCTGACAGGTTAAAGCTGCAGTACTACACATTTAAGGTTTGTTTCTCTGTTTTACTTGCCAACACCATCATTGTGTGTTTTGTTAAGCATTTTAAAATGCATCAAAAGTGGTCATTTTCATTTTATTTGAATGAGACTTGGTCTTTAACCCATAGCTAGATATGCATTGGTGACAGCTGCTTATCATTCTGTATTTCAGAAGAGGCTGAGTTCAGGCAGCAGCACCTCTTCTGACAGCTCAGAGCTCAGGCACCCTGCTACAGCGTGCTGAAAGACAGCAGAAAGAACGTGGGTGCCACTTTAGCTCAGTGTTTGCATAATGATTCCTTCTTAACATCATATTTTAATTCAAGGACAAGTACTTCAGTAATTTTTTACACCTCTTACAAAAGCACAAATCAAAATGACAAAATGTGTTTATGATCAGGCAATGCTACAAAATTGAGTAGTTTTTTTTGTTTTAGTTTAGTTGTTTGTTTTTTTTTTTTAACAGGTATATACAGAAGTTTGGATGAAGCCAAGTGAATACGGTTTGCACAAACAAGGAAAACAATGCAGTAAGTGAATATAAACACACCTTTCCAAGTCCAGATGAAAATAAGAGCCTAGCTGTAGAATGTGCATGTAACATTGATTACAACTTTTTCTCTGTTCTGGAACTCATAATTTAAATAACTCTTAACTGGGCATGACTATGCAGCACCTGCTCTTCCTCTTGCTGTTGTCATTACAAGAATGATCTTAAGATTTCTTTTGGTTTGCCTTATGCCAAAAATTTTCATAACAAAAAACACCCCTCAGCATTGTGTCTGCAGAACATATTCTCGCATGAACTGTAATAATACAACCTTTCCTTAATCCAAGTACCAATAAACTTCTAAGAATATTTAGATCACTGAAGTTGTACAACATCATTGTAGCTCAGTAACACCAAAACAGAAATAACTTAAAAACTATTTTTTAATTGAACTTGTCTGAAAATATTCCTGTGATTAATGAGGGAGAAGAGAACATGCATGTTTCATGCTACATTTGTTATGATCATTAGGTACTATGTATGAACTCTTTTTGGATTTAATGAGAGAGTAGCTCTTGGAGTTTGAGAATTTACTCAGATTCAGAAATTTCGTATCTGTTTTAGCAGCAACAGAATCCATTACTCACTGCATCATCCACTAATGCCAGGATTATTTTTTTTAACTATGGTTTAGGTAAGAAACCAAATTGTGAAGAGTCTGATTGCGGGTTTTGGTTTGTATTTTTTTTTTTTTTTAATAATGTCATCTATCAGGAAATGTGATTTTTGCAATTTCTGCTCGTTCATGCATCAGGTGCTAGGACTGTAACACCAACAAAGTGTCAACTGGAAATATTCATGGACAATTTACCCCAGGAAACAAAACGGAAGTCCCCATGGTTCTGGTTTGGAAGAAACAAAGGGTGGAAATCCAACTGTAGCTGTCCCAGTGCTACTGAGGAAAAATCCCATGATTAAAATGGCCTGAACTGTTATCACACCCGCTAATTTCAGGTGACACTTGTGAGGCAGGTTCTGACCCTGTTTTTGACCCTGGCCCAGTGTCAGCTCACCACCACAGCCCTTATGTGCGTGGACATGCCTCTGGCCCCAGAGAGGTCCTGCTTGGGCGCAGGCACCCCTGGGCCAGGGTTTGCTTTCTGAAAGCCCACGTTTCAGATGGTTATAATTAATAATAATTTTCCAGACTAAAGAAAGGCCATTTTTATCAACAAAAGGTGAATAAAGGCTTCTTAGGTAGGAAGCATTATATTTTATTAAATGTTAAATTAATCAAACTGTTGACCTTATGGGAGAAAATGCTTAAATTTAAGCAAATGTTTAAGTGCGTTACTAGAGAGAGAGAGAGAGAGAAAGCAGTGCCTGATACCTTGGCAGATCCGGCTCTAAATGAAAAGTTTTGTTATAACCTTTGAGACAATTCACTTTCCATTCTGAAACTGCACATATACAAGATAGCAGTTCTTACATAGTCGTTCAGAAGTGATAGTTACCTCCAGCCCAAGGGAAAAGGCATGAGATGCACACACCTGAACTGCATGTCAGAAAACAAAATCTAGTTAAACGTAATCATAACAGTGATGATCTTCATTTGAAAAAAGTGAAACAAGGAGGTAAGATTCCCTCTTGGAATGATTCCGATTTAAATTAAAGATTAATAAACTTCATTAATTAAGTGCTTAACAGAAATCTATGTGATGTTGATAATCTGTTTGTTACATTTGCCATGTGTACTAATTTGCTGTGATTTACGGCTCATTAAAATGATTTTTCTGTGATTTCCCCCTTCTTCCCATTCACCCTAACCTTATTTCTGCTACTGCAGCAGCCATAGTTTTATTGTGCCTGTTATGATACTTTTCTATTGTTGAAGATATTTATTCAGTTGTTCACATGAAAGGTAACAACAAAAATATAGAGGGAGCTGAGGGAAATATGTTAGTTCTACTGTTGTCATATGCTAAAAAAACTAATAGTAGTATGAAAAATAGAGTTTCTTATTTATTAACATCCTGAATTTAACTACCATGTTCATAATGTGCTTTGAAAACATTTGGAGCACTTTTTCTTAAAAACAAAACAAAACCAAAGCCACCCCATCCTAACAGATTTAAGTAAGAAGCACAGTCTTAAAAAAAAAAAAAAAGGGAAAAATCCCCACACGGGGTGATAGTTACTTGAAGGCATGGTGAAAATGAGGCAAGGTTACAGAATTTGTAGTGGATGGAAAGGAGCGAGGAAAATGATGCAGCTGGTTTAGGGCCATCCCACCAGTTGCTAGCTGAAGACCTTGCTGTTGGCCAAGGCCATTCAGCCTGTGTGATGGTTCCTCTGGGCCAAATGCCATTGTGAAGTCCCCAATAGTGTTCTGGTTGTCCCCTGGTGGGAGCTGCCAGAAACTCATC